CGATTGGCTGGTGGGCATAGAGGAGTGACACCCATTTGCATGTTTCTCTTTTATTAGTGTAGATTTCAGAAAGGGAGAGGGAGAGAGAGATAGAAGCATCAGTGATGAGAGAGAATCATTGATCGGCTGCCTCCTGCACGCCCCGCACTGGGGATCGAGCCCACAGCCCAGGCATGTGCCCTGACTGCGAATCGAACTGTGACCTCCTGGTTTATAGGTCAACGCTCAACCACTGAGCCACGCTGGCCAGGCTGACTGGCTGGCCCCTGAAAGGAGCTGACCCAGTCAATGCCGGCCAAGCCCAGGAATTGGTTCTCTCTTCCAGCTACCTTCTCTCCAAGGTCCTCTCCAGTTCTGTGGTTTTAGGAATCAACAGATTAACACAAAATTAGACCTCCAGCCTTAATCGCTCTCTGGAATTCAACTCAAATATAGAGATGTCTACTCCACCGGACAACTAAGAGGTACACGAACTCAGCAGGTCTAAAGCAGACCCTGCACACGCCGCTTCGCCCCAGCTCTCTCAACCTCACAAATTACATCACTACCTACCCAGTGGCTCAGGCCAAGTTCATCTCTCTCCCTGGCTTCCCTACATCAAACTCATCAGCAAGCCAAGCCATCTCTTCTTCCAAGACACACCAGAACCCACGGACTCCTCCCTATGTGTCTCTGCCGCCAGGATACAAGCTATTGCCACCTCGGACCATAGCAACAGTGTCCGCAGAGTTCCTGCTGCCACCCTGGCCCCAGAATCCAGTCGCCACCCAGCAGATACGATCTTTCACCAACAAAAATCCAATTCACATGACTCCCCCGATTAAATGCTTCCAACATCTTCCCATTGTGCTTGACAGTAAAACCCAGCCTCTTGGGCTCCTCGAGGATGCCACGCTAGGACCTTCCTTCCCACTGGGCTCCTCTCTGCCCACTGCCCCTCCTCCCGCCGCATCACACCCCGGGGCCTCTGCAGGTGTTGTGGCTTGATATGAACTGTTCTTCCTGTCTTTGCAGGATGGGCTCTGATCTGTCCATTCGGATCTCAGGTGAGGCGTCACTTCCTCACAAAGAGGCCCTCCTAAAAAACCATCTAAAGAAGTGAGGCCCCTCACATTCATCACATCAGCTTATTTCAATTAGTGCGTAGGGCCGGCATTTTCTTGTTTATTGGTTATTGTAGGTCTCTTCCCCCTGGAACATAAGTATCATGAGAATAAGAATCACATTTGTCTTCTGACAATCACACGGGGGTAGCCCGGGGCCTGGAACGCTCCCCGGTGCCTATTAAGCTCTCGGTAAACAGATGTTGGGTGAACGGGTGGATGGGGTGGATGGCTGGATTAATGGGAGAGATGAGAGGAGGAGGAAAGGGGAGAATAAGAGAGCGGGAGGGCGGGAGAGAGGAAGGAAGGAAGGAAGGAGAAGTTATGAACTCCTGGGGCAGGCTATTAACTCTCTCAGCCTCGGCTTCCTCTTCTCCTCCATGAGTCACATCTGCACTGATGTGGAGATGTACTCGGGCTCGTGTTGGTTCAGGACGCGACATGAAGAAGGTGCTTAACAGACAGGAGCGGGATGAGAATATGGCCACAGGTGCACGTCGCCCAGAAACAAGCCTCCGATGCCAGGGTGCGCGTGTCACAAAGACGCCCCCCCGCCCCCCTGGGAGCGACAGAGAGCGGGCAGCATCTCAATTTCTGCCAAACCGGATGGTTTAAATTCAGTTCCATCGCTGCTACGGGCACAGCGACCCTCACGCCCAGAGCAATCCACTCCTGGTTCCAGAACTGACGGGGCCCCTTCACTGTGGACTAGCGACGTGCTCCTCATCTGCAGGACTGAGTTTGCACAGCAGTGCCCTCCGCCGCGGCTCACGCCCGTCACCCACGGAGACCAGTCCGGTCTGCGTGTGAAACCTCTGCCCCACCTGTGCACCTGCCGCGAGACAAGGTGACCGTGCCAACACCTGCCCCCCGCCAAGCACAGGTGACTGTTTATTTAAAAGTCTCTTAAGACAGCCCCGAGCGCCAATCCCGAGAACCAATTCCCAGCGGTGGCTTCAAGCTAGGAATCGTCATCGATCTGTAAACATGTTCACCCGTTCTTGTCTAATTATTACTCCCTAATGACTTCAGAGATAAATATAACAAGCCTTTTTTGACAGTTTGTGAAATTAAGTTTCAGAGGAAAACATGTCATTATCATCCAGCCACCGTCGCATGTCGCCCAGAAACAAGCCCCAGATGCCAGGGTGCGCGTGTCACCAAGGCCGCCGCCCGGGAGCGACAGAGAGCGGGCAGCCTCTCCATCTCTGCCAAACCGGACGGTTTAAATTCATTTCCATCGCTGCTACGAGCACAGGGACCCTCATGCCCAGAGCCATCACCAGCTGTGAACGGGCGCTTTACTTTGGCCTGGGCACTGCTGCCAGCTGGCCAAGTGTCCTAAGGGGCAGCAGCCTCCAGAACGATGCCGGCGAGTCTGAGCAGTGGGAGAGAAGACACAGGGCACACAAAGGTCAGTAGCCAGAAAGCACTGGGGTGGATGGGGGGTCCATTGGTTCCCCTACACTAGGGGTGGGGAACGATTGGCCATGTGGACCCATGGGCCCGCCCCCGACACGCACCATAAGGCCCGCAAAATCATTCGGTCTGGCCCTGCCAAGGCTTTAGGAGTTCATTAAGCGTGTGACCGAATAGAGCAGGCTGATTTCTAAGCTGCTAATTTTGTGTGGCCCGAGAATGATGCTACACGGTAAATAACCAAATGGCCCTTTGGCGGAAACAAGGTTCCCACCCCTGCCCGACACACACCAGGGAGAAGCCCTCGGGCCACTGCTCAGCAGGGGTGCAGGCCTCACCCGGAGCAGTGGCAGCTTCCCTGCCCACCCGCGGCCTCTGGGTCGACTGCTGCTGGTCACTCGGGGCCATGGGCTTTGAAGGCCTCTCACCCTACCTAGGGAACCGCACGAGGGCCACCGGAAGGGTGCATCTTGGTGGAAATGTGACATTCACAGCGTTAACCCTCAACAGCTTTCCTCTCCCCCAGGTTATGCACTCTGTGCTTCCACTATGTGCCAGGCTCTGAGCGACAAAGGCGAGTGACACAGACCCCGTTCTCAGGAAGCCCACGTTCAGTCGCCCCACAAATATTTATAAAATGTGTCCATTCCAAACACTGCCAGTAGGTGCTCACACTTGGATGGAGGCAGCAGACAGTAAGTGTACAAACAGGTATACCCACCACCAGGGGCCACACCGGCAATGCAGAAGCACAGGCGAGTAGCAGGGATGAAGGGCGTGGGAGGGGAGGTGGGGTGACAGCTAAACAGGACCTGAATGAAGTGACAAAGCCAGCCCCGTAGACACCTGGGAAAGAGCCCGTGGGCTGAAGGCGGCGGGTCCAAGGCCAAGGTGGGCACGAGCTGGGCGTGTTTGCAGAACAGCACTGGGGCGGGCGTGACAAGACACTTTCATTCTTACCTGGGGCACCTGTGACGGGTCTTCCTGCTTCCACTCTGGTCCCTGGAAGCTATTCTACAGGGCCCCTTTAACACTTAAATCCCGGTGAACGGCTGGACAAACAGTGACCCGTCCATGCCGCAGAATACCACTGAGCAATGAAGAGAGAAGTGCTGATGGTGCAGCCACACAGGTGAACCCCTTTGACATTCCGCTGAGTGGAAGCAGCCAGACACAGAGATGCACATACAGCAGGATTCCACGGACACAGAACTCTAGACAACGCTCATCTGACGTGACAGAAAGCAGACGGGCATTGCCAGGGACGCGAAGGGGGCTGCTGATTGGGAGAACAGAGGAGAACCTGGCGGGTGACTAAGATGTTCCAGATTGGGTTGTGGCAGTGGTTATGTGGCTTCGTACTGTAAACCCTGAGGACTGAGAAGGGCTCCTGGTGGCTACTTGGTCTTAAAAAAACAACAGAGCCTAGCAGCCATTTCTGCACAGAGGCCTCCCATGCAAACAGCGCTTCCCAGAGAAGGCTCTGGGCTGAACTGCCCGTGTCCACTGAAGGGCCTGCCTGCACGGTGCTTCTGGCCTCTGAGCCAGCCCTTAAAAGTTCTTGGCGTCCTATTTCGACCAATAGGACTGAGGCTTTCCCCATCCAATTGGAGCTGCACAGCTCCAACCAGTCAGGGCAGTTCTATTCTGACCAATCAGGGATGAGGGGTGGGGACTTCTGGCTATAAGCCAGCTCCCCTCTGGCTCTGGGGGTGCCCACTTTCCACCTAAGACTGAAAACTGGGTTTACTGGCTGAAGACGGTTCCGAGAGGGCAGCATGGAGCCGACCTGCAGAGCGTGGCGGGCGGAGTGGGACAGATTGGGACAGACACCGCAGGGTGGGCCACGGCAGAGTGAAGCTGCCCAGCTGCAGAGGCCTGGTCCCGGGACCCCTGGCTCGGGCAGCCTCACTGCCACCCTGCAGCACAGCGGAGCTGTTTGCACCGCAGCGGCCATGCTGAGACAGAGAGAAATATCGATGTGAGAGACACACAGTGATTGGCTGCCTCCTGTACCTGCCCCTACCAGAGCCAGGGATCGATCGAGCCTGCAACCGACGTACATGCCCTTGACCAGAATCGAACCCGGAACCCTTCGGATTTGTGCACCGGTGGGGTCCCTTGGCCTGGCCTGTGCCCTCTCGCAATCTGGGACCCCACCCTGGCTGGAAAGGGACCGTGAGAGGGCTCCAGAGCATGTCCAGTCCATCTCACCCAGTCCCGATTGGCTGGACCCCAACAGCAAGCTAACCTACCGGTCAGAGCATCTGCCCCCTGGTGGTCAGTGTATGTCATAGCGACTGATCAAATAGTCGAAGGGTGGGAGGGACAATTAGCATATTAGGCTTTTATATAGAGAGATGTAAACATCAATCACAGATGAATTAAGTTATGTATTATGATTGATTGTTTTCATTCTTACACAATCTTTGCCCCAGGAATTAACTGCTTTTTCCTCCCTCCATTTACTACTTGGATTTTCTTCAATCTCTGGCTCCGTTTTCCCACCCACCAATAGCTCTTTATCATACCTCTCCACTCAATTTTCCATGTTTCTTCATGCAACTATTATCTTGCAGTCTCACACCATCCTGCTCTGTCCTGGACTGGCTGCTGCACAACTCTTCTACCCCTTTGTCATCATCTCGGAAGTCTCAGACCCCTCTCCTGGGTTGGATCTCCTAGATCACATGGTTGTTTAGCTTACTGCTTAATTTTATTGGAGCACATCCCTCTGTAGCTTTCTGAGAACAGGTACATGAGGGATATATTTCTGAGATTCTACATTTCTTTTTCTTTTTTAAGAGAGAATGGATTTGTGGTTGGACATCATCTTCCTGCAGAATTCAATGGCACCACACAATTCCATACCCTTCCGTGTAGATTCTCATTCTGAAGCTTTATCCCAGAATTCTAAAATATTTCTATAATGTGCCTTGGTGTCCGTTTTTATTTTCCCATCACTTATCCTGGGCACTCATGGGTGGTTCTCACTCTGGAAACTCATATCCTTTACTCCTGAGTTGACGTCACTTGACACTTTCTCCCTCATGTTGACCTGCACTATTCCTGGATGTGTGTGTTGCACTACTGAAGCTGACTCTCCAATTGTACCTTTTCTCCTCTTGAAAACAATTTTACTACGAAATATTCCAACTGATAAATCCTCTCCCCAAAAAGCATAAAACTTGACACAATTGCGAAAAACAACCATTTCAGGCCCTGGCTGAGTGGCTCATTTGGTTGGAGTATTGTCCTGGGTTCCATTCCCAGTCAGGGCACATACCTAGGTTGTGAGTTCAAGCCCTAGTTGGGAGGCAACTGATGGATGTTTCTTTCTTTCTTTCTATCTATCTCTTCCTCCTTTCCTTCCTTCCTCCCTCCCTCTCCCCTTTCTTCTCTCTAAAATCATAAAAATATATCCTACAGGGAGGATTAAAAACACAAAACAAAAACAAAGACAACCATTTCAGGATTCTGGAAACTGATCAGAAACATACAACAAATTGAGAGTGTCTATTTTTAAAGTTTGCTCAGTGGTTAGGGCGTCGGCCCAGACTCAAGGGTCTCAGGTTCGATTATGGTCAAGGGCATGTACCTCCATTCCAGGCTTGATTCCCAGGCCCCCTCTCTCACACTGATGTTTCTCTGTTTCTCTCTCTCTCTCTCCCTCCCTCCCTCCCTCCCTCTCCCTGGCTCCCTCCCATTCTCTAAAAATCAATGGGAAAAAATATCCTTAGGTGAAGGATTAATAACAACAACAAAAAGTTTCCCTAATTTCATCCGCAGCCCCCTGATGAGGAAGCACCAGCCCCCAGGGCATGCAGAGTCTGGAACATGTACCTGCAGCTCCTGGGGCCTCTGGGCCCCGTCAGGCGGCCGCTTGGGAGAGCGTCTGCTGGAATTCACGTACAGTTTCCGGCTGTGGAAGAGCTTCCCATTCAGCTCCTGGATCGCCAGCGCCACTCTGTGCACGGAGCCCAGGTCCACAAACGCGAAGCTGCGAGGAAGGACACAGGGGGCTCTGAGCAGGTCGCAGGCCAGAGCTGCAGGACGCAGCCATGCCCCAACGCAGCTGCTCTCCGCCCCTTCCAGCCAGAGGGGGGCGCTGCAGACACACAAACAAGTCACCGAGGCCCAGGCTTGGGCTGGACTGAGCAGCAGGGATCAGGGGACATGTGTGCATGCCCTGGCCAGTTTGGCTCAGTGGCTAGAGCGTCGGCCTGTGGACTGAAGAGTCCGGGTTCGATTCCGGTCAAGGGCATGTACCTTGGTTGCGGGCACATCCCCAGTGGGGAGTGTGCAGGAGGCAGCTGATGGGTGTTTCTCTCATCGATGTTTCTGACTCTCTGGCCCTCTCCCTTCCTCTCTGTAAAAAATGAATAAAACGTATTTTTTTAAAAAAGGACGTGTGTGCGTTGACTCTGCCGCTAAACACCATCTGGCTACATATGGTTTGGGGTTTCTTTCCTACGACTCCCCCCAAAGGTCAAAGCACTCTTACTGCCCTGGAAATAAGAAAGGGGAAATATGAATAGGCCCAGTTTCCAGGGGCAACGGAGGCTACGGTTGGTTTGGTCATCTACCTCAAGTCATAAAACAGAGCAAGGAGGTTACAAAAAAATAAATCCAGGCCTCTGGACTCCTAAACCAGGGCTGTGTGGGCAAGACAAGTCCAGGGGGGGCTTCCAGATGTCACTGGGCCAAGTCCCCGTGGGTGTGGGCCTGGGAGCTCAGCGGCCGGTCTGCAATGTCCGCGCATCAGCAGAACGGACCAAAGGGAAAGCAGTCGCTTCCCAAGGAAAACACAGGAAGTGCAGTCCTTACCATCTGTAGCCACTCTGGACCCTATGGACACGGAGAGGGTTGAAGTCCTTCAGCAGGTACCGAATCTCCTCCTATAAGGCGGGGTTTGCAAGAGAAAGAGACCCAGAGACAAAGTTACAGCTGGTTCTCCAGGTTTCAGACCCCCCCACCAGCCAGTCTGTAACCAGTGGAACACGTACTTCATGAAAAGCCTATGACGTGCTGTGTGTGCCGGGCTTGTGCTGAGCGATGCAAATACAGAGGCAAGAAAGACACGTCCTGCCCCCAGTGAAGCTCATCGGTCCAGCGGGGCTACAGACAAGACAGTCAAGCGAACAGACCCCGGGGCAGAGTGGAGTCTGAGTAAGAGGGGCGCAGGCCAGGGAGGGCAGGCAGCGTGCTGAGGGACAGGGCTCTGTCTCCTCTCAGCCTCCCCTCACGCTGCTCACCCACCTTCTTTGCAAGTCTCCCGGCCCCTTTCCTCACGGTAGCCTGGCCTCCGCTGCTCCCCGGGCTCCGGTCACCTTCCCCCTCTGGGCACTTCTCCACACCTGCTCTCAACCCTTCCTCCTCCTCTGCCCTCCGGCTGCCTCCCTTCCCAGTGGCTCCTCCTTCCACTGGGCTAGCTGGGGCCCCTCATTCCACATACACACCACCCCCTTTCTTTGAGCTACCTCTCCAGGACCCTGATGGCCTTCTGAGCTACACCCTACTTTTCCTCTTTTCTGCCACACCATCTCCTCCTAACGCCTCTGTGTCCTCTCTGCTCACTCCCTCCTAACTGCCCGCAGTCTGGCTCCTGCCCTGCTAAAAATGCTTTTTTTTTAATTTTGCTTTTTGGTTTGTTTTGTTAGTCCTCACCATGAGGGAGTGGAAAGGAGGGAGGGAGGGAGGGAGAGAGAAACATCTATGTGAGAGAGTCACATGGGTAATTGCCTCCCGCACACGGGGCAGGATCAAACGTGTAACCCAGGTACATGCCCTTGACTGAGAATGGAATCCACGGTGCAAAGGCCAACACTCTAACCACTGAGCACACCAGCCAGGACGAAAGGCTTTCCTTACCGTCCCCGATGTCTCCTACTGCCCACCGGGAAGCGTGCCTGCAGGCCTCCGCTCGACTCCTACTCTGACATCTCTTGATTGGTTGCCTCCTGCACACACCCCTACCAGAGCCAGGGATCGAACATGTAACCCAGGTACATGCCCTTGACTGAGAATGGAATCCACGGTGCAAAGGCCAACACTCTAACCACTGAGCACACCAGCCAGGACGAAAGGCTTTCCTTACCGTCCCCGATGTCTCCTACTGCCCACCGGGAAGCGTGCCTGCAGGCCTCCGCTCGACTCCTACTCTCACAGCCTCCTTCCTGCTTCCCTCCCAGCACACACACCATGATAAAAAAAAAAACATTTTTTACCTAGGAAATTCTATTTGGGAAAAAATGTGTGACATTTATACAATCTTCTTTTAAAAGCAGCTTTTACCAATCTAAAGTCACTTTGCTGGGTGAGGAAATTAGACATACATTATGTATAACTCATTTTTCTCAGTCTTCATGTTTATATTACATTTAAATTCAAATTTTCTAATTTGCTTTTACTTTTAAATATTTAATGTTTATTACACATGAATCTACAAGATGCTGAGCAACGTGCAATTTGTCAGGACAAGCAATATGTGGTTAGCATTTTCAGTTTATAAGGCACTTTCACCAGCCTTATTCCATTTGATCTTTAAAATTATGCCCTGACCGGTTTGGCTCAGTGGATAGAGCGTCGGCCTGCAGACTCAAGGGTCCCGGGTTCGATTCCAGTCAAGGGTATATACCTTGGTTGCGGGCACATCCCCAGTAGGGAGTGTGCAGGAGGCAGCTGATCAATGTTTCTCTCTCATTGATGTTTCTAACTCTCTATTCCTCTCCCCTCCTCTCTGTAAAAAATCATTAAAAAAATATTTCTATAAAATTACCCTGTAAAGTACACATTATTATTGTCCTCATTCTCAGAAGCATACACTAAGGATCAGAGAGGCTAAGTGACTTCCCCAAGACTACACAGCCAATGTAGAGTCAGGATCCGAACCCAGGGATTCTAACTTCAAATCCTACATTCTTTTCATTCTCTGCAAAACATCAACTGTCTTCTTTTTAGGTTTTACCAATTATTAAAGTAGAAAACTACTTCATATTTTTGTATCTTCTATAGCAGGTGTCAGGAAACCTCAGCCTCAAGCCAAACCCAACCTACCACCTTTTTCTCAATAAAGTTTATTGGAACACAGCCATACACGTTCGTTTACTTATTGTCTAGGCTGCTTTCAGGCTACTACCCCAGAGTAGAGTATTTGCGACAGAGGTACATGATCTGCAAAGCATAAAATATTTACTATCTGACTCTTTGCGGAGAAAGTCCGCCAAGCCCTGTTCCCTAGCAATGGTTCTCAGTGCTGACTGCAAATGAGATTCTGCTGGACAGTTACTTTTCTTTGGGGTTGGGATTAAAGCATCAATATTTTTTAAAAGCTCCCCAGATGGTTTTAATGTGCAGCCAAGGTCAAAAATTACTGTTCAATGGTATCAAGCAGATACAGGAAGTACTCCTTTTCAGAAAATGTGCTCGAGGGTGAGAGGAGAGAGAAACCACCACCACCTCCACCACACCACACACACACACACACACACACACACAAAGGCAAAATACAAAACCCTGCCAACATCTTTCCATCCATGGGGACTTCAACCAATGCTCTCAGTGAGGCCAGCCCATCAGCAAATGCTGTTACTGTTAACAGTTGTCATTAGGGCCTCCTGAAACCTGAAGACATGCCCTAACTATGACTTTCTTTCTGCCCCTTATACGGTAGTTGTCCCCCCTTATCCTCGGATGCATATTCCAAGACTCCCAGTGGATGCCTAAAACTGCAGGCAGTACCAAACCCTATATACTATACTGTTTTTTCCTATACATACATCTACACTAATAAAAGCCTATGTGGTCATCATGCCCTCACACCGTGATGCCCTCACGCCGTAACAACCCATCACCAGGAGGCTGCGTGCGAGGTGAGGTACACGGGTGGGCGGGGACTTGACGCTGCGTGTGCGGTGCGGAGGCAGGACCCCTGGCTCTGGCCTATCTCTTTGGGGCAATCCATCGAGGAGCCCTGGGTGGGTGGGCTGGGCCTACCTCTTTGGGGAGATTGATTGCGGGGCTCCTGCACTATGAGAGGGCACAGGCCAGGTTGGAGAACCCCCCCTACAAGGGCACGAATTTCATGCACCGGGCCTCTAGTACCTATAATAAAGTCTAATCTATAACTAAGCATAATAAGAGATTAACATATAGCCCAGTTGGCATGGCTCAGTGGTCGAGTGCCTACTTAGGAACCAGGAGGTCACAATTCAATTCCCAGCTGGGGCATATGCCCGAGTTGCAGGCTCAATTCCCAGTAGGAGACATGCAGGAGGCAGCTGATCAATGATTCTCTCTCATCATTGATGTTTCTCTCTCTCTCTCCCTCTCTGAAATCAATAAAAATATATATTTTTAGAAAAGATTAACATATACTACTATAATAGAACAATTATAACAATATACTGTAACAAAAGACATACAAATGGCCAATAGCATATTGGCCATTACTTAAGCAGATGCTCATTACTTAAGGCAGCAGTTCTCAACCTGTGGGTCATGACCCCTTTGGGGGTCGAACAACCCTTTCACAGGGGTTGCCTAAGACCATTGGAAAACACATATATAATTACATACTGTTTTTGTGATTAATCACTATGCTTTATGTTCAATTTGTAACAATGAAAATACATCCTGCATATCAGATATTTACATGATGATTCATAACAGTAGCAAAATTACAGTTATGAAGTAGCAACGAAAATAATGTTATGGTTGGGGGTCACCATAACATGAGGAACTGTATTAAAGGGGTCACTGCATTAGGAAGGGTGAGAACCACTAACTTGAGGAAATCAAAACCACAATGAGATACCACCTCACAGCCACTAGATGGCTATAGTAAAAAAGACAGCTTTTGGCGAGAAGGTGGAGAAATTGGAATGCTCATACATTGCTGGTGCCACTGTAAAATGGAACAACTGTTTTGGAAAACAGTTTGGTAGGTCCTCAAAAAGTTAACCGTAGAGCTCCCCTTCCCCAGCTGCTGGCCAGGGCCTTTCTTCATTCCACACCACCCCAAGGTGGTCAGCGCATGTCATAGTGAATGATCCAACTCCCAGTCTCTGGGTCGAACTCCCAAGAGGACACTTTGCATACTAGCCTTTTATATATAAGTGAATGATGAGTTGATAAACACACTGTGGTACATCCACGTAATAAAATATCATTCAGTCATGAAAAGGAGTGAGGTGCTGGGATGGGCTATAACGTGGACGGACCCGGGAACATGCTACGTGAAGGAAAACACGACATGCCATACGTTGTATGATTTCATTTCTATGAGCTGTCCAAACAGGCAACTCCACAGAGACAGGAAGTAATCCATGGTTTCCAGGGACTGGGAGGAAGGGGAGGGTAATGGGGATGGGATTTATTTGGGGGGAAATGAAAATGTTCTTGAATCCAGATGTTGGCACAACCTTGTGCGTATACTAAAAGCCACTGAAATGGAATGTGATTTATATCTCGGTTTTTAAAAATGCTAATACAATGGAAAAAGATGCTGGCTACTGTCATTGCGATGAGTAACAGATCACCCTGCATCTCTGACCCACAACTTGCGTCTTCTACCAACAGCCATGAGACGGCTACAAGCTAATGTGTTGGTTTGCAAGGAGCGTCAAGTCACAGTTCTCCACAGGGCATTTAGGACTTTCTTTCTAGAATCCGACTCCGTGAGCTGAAGTCTTTGCTAGGAGGCTGGGCTGCGTCCACAGGTCTGTGGGAGAGGCTGTCTGTTTCCTGTGGAAGGGACGGGGGCCAAAGGCCAGGTGCTGGGCTTTGAAGTAGGCTCGACACCAAAACAGGGTGCACTGGTGATTCTGAGAGGAGTGACAGAAATCCTCGGAGAGCTCTGCCTTCAAGCACTAAGAGGGTTTTTATTTTGAAGGCTGCCTTCACCAGGCCTTGCCTCTCGGCACCTTGCCTCCCCGACCACCGACCTCCGCAGGGCCTGCCTGCAGGGGCTCCTGTCCCCTGCTGCTGCCCGGTAGCAGGTTCTGCCAGCCCGCCAAGAGGAGGAAAGGGAACCAGGTGCCAAGAATCCCCCACCGACTCCTCTGATTGAATATGATTTCATTTACTGGGTCAACATAAATGACTCCGTTCTGGGCTCCAATATCATCTTCTTCTCTCTTTGTCAGATTAAAAAAAAAATAAAACACCCATAATAGATCCACTTTTATTATGGGCGAGTTATTTACATGTCTTATCGATTATGTGGTTTGGTACTTGGGGGCAACGAGATATGGATTCGGCTCTTGGCTGACCTCAGTGGTCTGTGTGCTTGGACCTCTCACAGAACTTGGCAGCCCCACCTCTGGGGTGAAGGGAACACCCACCGCCCAGAGTTATTACTTGAACTTAACCAAACCACACGAATGAAGTATTTAGCCTATTTCCTGGCGCCTGCCTGGTAATTAAAATATGGTAAGTGGTGTGAAAGGAATGAAATACAGCCTGGGCAGAGAGGACGGAGTTTCATTGACTGGCAAGGGGGCACGGGGAACAGGGAGTTTCTGAACATGTTTAGCTTGCAGCAGGGGCCCCACAAAGATGATTTCTCTCATCCTCCCACATCTGAGCTCCTTGAGGGTCAAGACTTGGCTGTCTCTAAGGTGCTTGCTGAACTTCAAGCACGTTATTTTGCATATAGTAGATGCTCCCCACAAAAAGTCAGGGGATGCTTCAATTCAGGAGATTACGCTTCCATTTTCCTTCCCTCTGAACTTCAGATGCACTTATTACACATTTTAAATACTTGTGTGATTCTATAATGATTTCAGGTTTGTTGACTCAGCCTCCCCAAATAGACAGTGAGACCCCTGGGTTCAAAAATCCCCGTGCTAACATTCTAAGTGTCACAGCCACCGACTCCACGGGTCCGTTCCCAAGTGAACTGAGTGCAGGTTTTGGCTGAGACCCGACTGCCCCCCGTGCCCGAAGGACGGGCACCTGACCTCTAATGAGACCCCTCCCTGAAAACAAGCCGCCTCGCTGCAGCCCCTCCGTCCACCCAGAGCAGCGAGTGGGGCGACCAGCCGTCCCGGTTCACGTGGGAGGCGTGGGGACGAACCGCGCAGGAGGCTAGAACCGGGAAAGTCCCAGGCACACGGGGAGGAGGCG